TTAATACAAATAAATTAACCAACTTCACTTTGCAAAATCTTAAGAACTCAAATGGTATACAGGAGGTTAAGAACTTTGTTTCCTGAAAAAATCGCTCAAAACTTTTCAATATCTTAAAAACAGTGAAATGAGCAATAATTAACAAAAGAATACAAAAATTCTGAAAAGCAAAGTATAATTATTGATATTTTATCTTATATTTTCAAGACAAAAAATATTGCAATGAAATAAGCTATATCTCTTAATACAAATATTAATTATCCTAATAAAAAAATTAACCAACTTTCCGTTGAAGAAAAAAAATCGCGCAAAACTTTTCAGTATCTTACAGACAGTGAAATAAGCAAAAAATAGGATGAAAAAACTAAAAAAACAAAACATTCCGCGCACAATTTTACTCTGCAGAACCACTTAATAAAAAAAAAAATCAATAGGAATGTATTACATATATAAAAAAATTACAATGAAATATACCAAACTCTTAAAAACAGTGACATAAGAAATACGATGGAAAATTGTTTCCAAACCCATATTTCTAAAAGAATGAAACTATTCAAAATGATGCGATTTCATCAAAAATCTATCAACAACAATAAGGCAGGAAAATTGTTGCCAAAATCACATTTTTAAAGATGTGAGATGCGAGAAATGTACTCGGAAGCTTCATTTAAAAAATTCTTTAAAAATACAACATAGTATCATTTTTCCAAAATTTTTTGTAAAAGCAGTCGCAAGGATGAAAGGTTAGCGTGTCCAAAAATCAAAGAAAAATAAAATGTACCTTTTTAAAAATACATTTTTTAGAAAAAATCCCGTTGAAAAAGTGTTAATCTCACTTTGTTAATCTCACTTTGTTAAATAAATTCGTATTTAATCGATTTATTGAAACACGAAATTTATTTTAAGTTCGTAAAATAGCTAAGTGCCAACGTTTCATGACGATGTGAAAATGGAGTGTGTAGAGTAAAATCTCGCTTTCCTATAGCCCATTATGTCTGAAAATGACGCGATTTCGTCACAAAACATAAAATAAAAGAATTCTCGAATTTCGAAAAAACCTCTTCGATGTGCCCTGGCTCTTGTCTAGATGCACCTATGTACCAAATTTTGTAGCCGTGGGCCTATAAGCTTACGCGCTGCGCGAACGACACACAGACAGACTCTTTCGTTTATTATATGTAGAGATAGAGACTAGCAGCTTCACTGCCAGCCTTCGTCTGATTTTTAAATGTACCGGAAAAATAGTTGAAGGGAACAAACACCAAACGTTAAATTTAAAAACTGCTTAGAATTTTTTTCTGCAGAACAACTTCATAAAAAAAAGTCATTATGAATAACAAAATTACAATGAAATAAGGAATATCCCTTAATACAAATATTAATTATCCTAATAAATAAATTAACCAACTTCCCTTTGCAAAATCTTAAGAATGCAAATGGTATAAAGGAGGTTTCCTAAAAAAATCACTCAAAACTTTTCAATATCTTAAAGACAGTGAAATGAGCAATAAATAACATAAAAGAATACAAAAAACAAATTCTGAAAATCAAAGTATAATTAATGATATTTTATCTTATATTTTAAAGAGAAAAAAATTACAATGAAATAAGCTATATCCCTTAATGCAAATATTAATTATCCTAATAAAAATATTAACTAACTTTCCATTGATGAAAAAAATCATGCAAAACTTTTCAATATCTTACAAATAGTGAAATAAGCAAAAAATAACATGAAAGAACCTCAAAAAACAAAAAATTCCGGGCACAATTTTACTCTGAAAAACAACTTTATCAATAAATAAATAAATAAAATAAAAGTATATATATATATAAATGACAATGAAATATGCCAATGTCTTAAAAACAGTGACATAAGAAATACGGTGAAAAATTGTTGCCAAACCCATATTTCTAAAAGAATGAAACTATTCAAAATGATGCGATTTCATCAAAAATCTATCAACAGCAATAAGGCAGGAAAGTTGTTGCCAAAATCCCATTTTTAAAGGTGTGAGATGTGAGAAATGTACTCGGAAGCTTCATTTAAAAAATTCTTTAAAAATACAAAATATCATTTTTCCAAAATTCTTTTTGTAAAGGCAGTCGCAAGGATGGAAGTTTAACGTGTCCAAAAATCCAAAGAAAAATAAACTGTACATTTTTAAACATAAACTTTTTTAGAAAAAATCCCGTGTAAAAGGTGTTAAGCTCACTTTGTTAAGTAAATTCGTATTTAATCGATTTATTGAAACACGAAATTTATTTTAAGTTCGTAAAATAGGTAAGTGCCTACGTTTCATGACTATGTGAAAATGGAGTGCGTAGAGTAAAATCTCCCTTTCCTATAGCCCATTATGTCTGAAAATGACGCGATTTCGTCACAAAACATAAAAAAAATTCTAATTGGAATTTCAAAAAAATCGCTTCGAGGTGCATTGGCTCTTGTCTAGATGCACCTATGTACCAAATTTCGTAGCCGTGGGTCTATTTGCTTACGCGCAACGCGAACGAAAGAAACACAGACAGACTGTTTGTTTTATTATATGTAGAGAAGGTAATATTTAACGGTGCGCACAATTGTTAATTCCTTTTCTTTATACCTTTTTTTGAAGTCCATTTTCGACTGTAAGAGACTTGTTTCCCAAATATAAAGTGCTGACGAATTTATCTTGTAACACATTTTAGTCGGCCGTCACTTGCAGAGATTATAGATTCGTACGGTGCGAGAAATATGAGAAAATCAATTCTGTCTCTGCCGGGTTTGATACCTTTTGACTTCCGAATGCTAGACGGGCATGCTACCACTAATAGCACGAAGGCGTGCAATGAAAAATCGGAAATTCCTTAAAAGTTATCCTAAGTTAAATTTTTATTAATTTCAATTTTGTAATCGTCATGTTAACGTGCTTATAAATATTTTTATCTTGGAATTTGTTTGGGTTTTGATACTTCCAGTTAGGGAATCAGAAGAAAGTCTTACGGTTGTTGGTTGGTTAGGTGGTAGTATATTTTAATAGCGAAACCATATAAATATCATTAAATAAACCATAAAATGTTTAGAATGCGTATTTAATGAAATAAAACCTGTAACTTCCCTTTCCAGATATACGTATGAATTTCTGTATATTTTGATAATTTCGTATTTAAAAGTCAATCCCCAAAAGATAAATAAGAGCAGTGTTGATGAGTTAGAGAGCCTTCAGCAGCTATTGCTTTAATACGCTTCCTTCCTGCTTAAGTTAAATTCATTCGATGCTGCAAGCCGTGGTTGCTACGCGAATACTTAGCTCATGAAACAAGATTTATTTAGACATGTGTTAAATCATGTTTCATATTTAATTTGACTTAAACATCAATTTTTTATTCCCTGTAAAATGAAAAAATAGTTTAAGTTATACAGGATGTCCGAGACGAAGTGCCCTAATCTGAAACACGTATCCTGAATATAATAGACAACCCAGACAGTTTTGTTAGATGTGAAATGAAAGATTATATCTGTATGATTTATAATTGTGTCATGTTCTATCAAGTTCATATTTATGTCATTTTCATTGGATGTGCTGAAAACCGAAGAAATTGATAAAGTTAGAAAAAAATTGGAAAATGTAAAACGAATACTGAAAAAGAACAAACTATGTGGTAGTATGCAGAACTATTTATTATCCATTATTGCAAGTCAACACGGTTTCCGTGTGGAGTAGCACAGAAACCCTCCCGATGCCCAAAGAATCAAGGTGTGGAAAACAGCGTTTCTAGACACCATGATCTGTGGCATGGTGGTGGACTATGAAGAACAGAAACTGTTAACCGCGTTTCAGATACGTTTAAAAGAAGTCCTAAGAAATCCCCTCGTATGACGTCACGTGGAGCTTGGTGTTCTTTTGTTTCACAAGCGCCTAAAGCTTCATAATATGCAGTGTGTATCAATACAGTGAGTGGTGATACATTTTCAGGAGAGGTGTCGAGTACACCTGGACAATGGGAAATCACGTAGGAATGCATGGTCGAAAACGCTTGCTTGGCACGGTAGTGACGACACAAAAGTCAAGAAAGAAAGGAGACGATTGAGATGAGAAAACATGTTTATTATTCGGAGTACAACAAAAATAAAGAACATAAAGAGACAACGATCATCGTCAAAGAAGATGTTCGAAATTACAACTCGGACCGTGATGCGGGAACCGTGCGTCATGCATCTTCCAAGCGATCTTCCATTTGTGATGCAGATCTTCCATGCGCCAGAGAAGTGAGGCCTCCATCATGGTCTGGGGTCGAAATTTCGAACACCTTTTTTTAATAAAGATCGTTGTTTGTTTTTGTTCTGATTTGTAGGTTTCTGCTGTACTAAACATAATAAAACCTGGTTTTGTCTCACTCTTTTTGCCCTTCTTTTTTTTGTGTGTGTGTGTGTGTGTCGTCAATACCGCCGTGCCAGGAAAGCGTATCTCTTCCGAAAGTTAGTCCCGCTGTACTGATATACCCTGTATGTATACAAATTGCCATTGTTACATGAGTTGAAATCCGAGCTACATTTCTCGAAGACAAACGAGCAGCATTTGTCGAACACATTCTTCAGCGCTAAATAATCTTAGATGCTTAAAGGTACCTGGAGAAAAATAAGAGTAACGATTAGACATCCTCCGCATTACTCGTGGGATTCAGGTAGAAACAGTGTGATTGAACAAGCAATTCTAAATTTTGCGTCTCCGTTGTTTGAATTATCTTTATGTATCGAACACATGTTGTATTACAGACATTTCAAATTGGGGTGTTACGTCTCGGATGCGCTTATTTTTGTGTTTGTATAACCATCAGGTTAGCATGTTAATAAACGGTTTATTTGAAACATTGAGTTTTTGACCTCTATTGCTAGTAGTAGTAGACGGAACGGTGAGCCGTCTGTCTTTGCGGTTCTAGTAGATTGGCATTTTTAGGTAGTGAAAAACCATACATGTTTAAGGTGAAAATATGGAAATGAATCAGATGAAGTAAAAACATTTATTAAGTCAATTCTAAAAAAATTCATAATTTTACTTATTGTAATATGAAATTGACTTATTCAGTTTTCTATTTTCATATGATCTAATTAATCACAATTTCTTTCTATGATTCATAAAATTTTGCTTAATTTCTAAATTTGATATTTTATGATCTAAAACCTTTATAACGTTTATGGAAAGGACTTCTTTTCCAGTTTACATGCGGATTTCTATTTCCTGCGCACAGAGCTTGGATAACACCAGCGTCTTCTACGGTACAGAATTGATATACGTGGAAATCATTCAGGGGCGATGAAACTTCAATTACATGCCATTCTTGATTTATTTCATCCCATAAGCTAGGAGGATACCTGAAAAATTGGCGTTCATCTGAATGGTTGTCATATACGAATAGAAAACCATTAAGAATGACTGCTTTTGGCAAATAGTATGGATATGGCAACTTTTCAAATGGTTTCCAGGCATTACTTTCTGTGTCATATATTTCAACTGATTTCGTAAATGAATAATTATCATGACCACCAAAAACATATATGTGGCCACGATAAGAAATTGCGCAAAACTGCGCTTTGTAACTGGGAGGAGATATATTATTCCAAGAATCTGAAATTGGATCATAACTCTGTGCTGCCATGATATCTCCAGCTGGATCGGTTAAAATACCTATAACATAAATTTTATCATTATGAACCACAGCTGTTCCTCCAATAAGTGGTAGCATAGGGCTCAATATCTCCCATTGGTCATTTATTATATTATAACGCTCTACAGCGGCTGAAGGCGATTCAAAAGCAAGACCTACATTCATTCCACCAAGTGCATAAATGTAATTGCCGACTTGAACAAGACTGTAGTCTGTCCGTGTGATGTTCATGTGCCTGATGGGAATCCAAGTATTCGTAAGCAAATCTAGCGCAAACATAACATTTTCCCAGGGATCAAACATTAGAATTTTACCAGAGATGTGAAATAAAACTTCTGGACAGAAAGCTTTCCTGCTTATGTTTGTCCAGATATCAATGTGTTCATCAAAAGTAATGTAAACTTCTACTCCTTCTGAAAAGTCTCTTAGCGATATGCAGAATTTAGTGAAAATTTTTAAACTTTTAGGAAATCGAGAACCTGGTATGTCCATTCCGTTAATTTCCAAACTTAGTTTGATATAAGAGCGTAAACCATCTAATACAGAATCATTGTTCATCAACATACATTCTTTCATTTGATTACAATGAGGATTTTCTTTCACCATTGGATGATTACTAATTTTAGAAGCGAGTTCCTCGTCAATCTGATCTGCGCGGAGGCAAAGTAAAAGATCTGTAACATAAGGCATTCTTTCAGTAAAAGCCTTCTTCACCCAGCATATGATAGCATCCCATACTATTTCTTCTTTTGATATATTTACATTATTATCTTGAATCAAAAATTTCAGGACATCAAGAGGAAGATCTCCAAACAACGAAGGTGATTCTTTAACAATTCTTTCGAAGTTTGTCTGCATGAAACGAGTACACAACTTGAGAAAATCGCTTTGCTTCTCTTTCCAAGCCAAGACAAGAAAAGTAATGCAGTTAGTACAGGAAATTTTGCGAGAAGCGAACTTGTGGCACTCTGTAGTTAGCCCATCAATGCGTAAGTTATAGGATGTCACCAGAAGTTCTGTAATATTCATTTCATTAATTTCGGCTTTTCCCGTATTTACGTATTGAAGGACTTTTCTCATTATGGAACTTCGGATATGAGGAATTCTGATGACTGACGAGTTAACATTGTTGCAAAATAACTCGCGGAAGTAAACACTATGCATAGCTAAAACTGTTTTATGAACAGGAAGCAGAAATCCGTCATCCATTTGCAACAGAGCATCACATAAATGTTCAAATCCCACGTACGATTCTCTCGCCTCAGGAAATGGCCACATTCTGTACAAGGTTCCTTCCGGAATGCTGCAAAAACAACGTGTAAGAAATTCACAAGCTACTAAACTTCTAAAACTATTAAATGAATACTTTGTTAATATACTCTTGCAAATATTTGCAAACATCAAAATTCTTTTTGTTTGTATTGTTGTTTTTCTGAATTGTTGTAATGTTGAGTATTGTTTTATTTAGTCATGTTTCTTTGTTGCTTTTTGGATGATAGTTTTAGGTTTTTTTAATCAAATGTGTGGCCAGATGTTTTGCATTTAAGTGTTAATTACTTACATAGAATTGTACATCTTTCCATTCTGAGTGCAACAACACTTGAATTGTAAACATAGCTTAAGAAGAACACGAGATAGGTGCAAATTGTTTTAGACGGACCTGGAAAATTTCACAAAAATAAGATACATTTCTTCTACAATTAAAAACGCATTTTCGAAAGCCTTACGACCGATTCTTCCAGAGCGCTACAGTATATAAATATAGATTCGAGAGTAAGAAGTCGGTTTATAACTAGCTGTGTGATTTAGCGATTAGATGAATTGCTATTTAGAGTTTATTCCGCCAGTGATTTTCAGAAATGACGATTTGGAGCGCAAAAGGAATTGCTTAATAGAGCGTACTCCTTGAGCTGTTTCTAACTAATAATTGTATTGAATGTCATGAGTTTTTATAACAAAATTGTTGATCTCTTCGTCCTTATCTAGAGTGATTATTTAAGGGGACTCGTACACTTTAAAACCCATAAGATCTTCGAATATGTGACTGTTGCAAGAATTGGGATAACTTATTTCTTTTAAAAGCAATTACTTCCAACTTTTTACAGCTGACTACATAATATAGCTGCTTTCTGAAATAGTAATCAGAAAGTTTGTGTTGCCACAAATATTTTTATAATTTAATCCGCTTTGTGACACAATTTTTTGTTATGTTTCCACCTTGCGCGCAGAGTTGAAAAGATTCTATTGCATAATTTAAGTCCATATTTAATATATAACTTTCATAACATTTGGAAACTACTGTGAACAAAGAATTCTAAGAATTTCATGTTAAATTTTTATTTTATTTGGAGTTGAATTTATAAAATGTGTTTTATTAAAAAAAGTGCAATGTTTTCGTCCATAACATTCTTTAATATTAATATATTCATCAGATTTTTGAGTTCAATTAGAAAGTAGTGCCCATATAAAGAATTCCATCAATTTTAAAGTATGTACCAATAGTCATTTTAAAAATATCATGCGCGCAAGGTGGAAACATGACGAAAAATTGTCACAAAGCGGATTAAATTACAAAAATATTTGTGGCAACACAAACTTTCTGGATACTAGTTTCCAAAGCAGCTATATTATGTAGTCAGCTGTAAAATTTGGAACTAATTGTTATTAAAATAAATAAAATATCGTAATTCTTGCAACAGTAACATATTCGAAGATCATAAGGGGTTTAAAGTATATGAGCTCCCTTAAAGAGGTAGCAACCCGCACATCGCAACAATATTACTCGTATATAACTTACAAAAGTTTCGAGTTAAATAAGAAATTATATTTAAATTACTTATACGTATTACATGTATAGCAGTAAAGTGAAAAATCCGATGTTATGTAGAATATTTAGTATCGCGAACGTTCTCCTATCTCTATAACTGTGACTGTAACTTTAACGGATTCTAAATTTTGATTTCGAACTGTAGCTGCGCAAAGTTTTTTGAGTGCGTAGCATATTTTGTAAAACGCTATAAGATGTGCTGGTAACTTTAATTCTTTATTAATTTTTTTCAAAATATTAGATCACTGTTGTGAATTCTGATGGATTTTAAATTTAAGCAAAGAAAATATTAAGCTTATGCGAACTCGTTTACTGGAACAGAAGAAACCCAAAGTAAGTATTCAGCATTGCACATGGCATCTCTGCTGGGATGCATATTTCGTATGTGTACATTTGTATAGCCACCGAGGGAGTGGCTTCTAGAATAGACCAATGGGTTTCCGGTAATACTTCTGTCACTTTCTGTCGCGCTTTAAAGAGGATGGTTGAAAATGTTTGCCACGCAATTTCCTGTACAAAATAAGGAAAGCATCAAGGATTTCTTTTAAAATGTTTAGTGTGAATTTAGATCCAATATAAGCATAGTTATATATGTAAATAGTCTTACACACGTAAATAGTTACATATGAAAAAGTCTTATCATTTTTTATTATATATGTCTGTATGAAAAAGATGTTCTATAATAGCCAGTGCAAAGTTTTACTCAAAGCGAACTTTCTTAATTTGCATTCCTACACATTTAGTGTGTTAAATTTCACATTAACAACCGTTCGCTCTTATGTATTGCCTGTACAAGAAATGCTCTTCAGAGAGAATGAACTTATCTTATTCACAACGAATATTTTTAATTTAGCCATATAGAACTTTTGATGTTAACAATAGGTATAATCAGATCATTCGCAATATATATTTTGAATCTTACATTTTCTAAATTAAATGAATGGAGGCATTGAGATAAATATAGAATCATTGTAACACTTCCAGTTACTCTCAGCTCAATAAAAAATTGTACACTTGAATTCGCTTAATCCTAATGTGTTATTAAATGCATAATATTCGAAGCTAATTTTATCTTGAGTTATTTTCTCGATATAAAAGGCGATAATATGCCATGAACATTAATCCGAATACCAGTGTGTGACAATTTTTTTCTAAAGTTAATTGATGACGATTAAATAAACTTATAAAATGCGCTTTATAAGTTTACGAGTACGAGGTTTATAATTACTACGAGGTTTTTTACTAAAATGGTAGCAGCATTAATACGCCATACGTATATAACTGCGAAACAATGTAAATAGAACGTGAACAACATGCGCTCATATCCACAGTTTCAAAGATTCAGCGTCACAAAAGCAATAGAAGCTCATTGGCCCATTTTTGAAACCCCTCTCTCAGTGGTGATACTGATGTGCACTAGTGAATTATGCTGCCTGGATGGTTAATATTATTTTGCTACTATTAAAAAATCTAATGTAGTCATTGAATATTTTGCAAATTAGTAATTGTGTAATTAAGTATTTAATAGTTTGAAACATTTTAGTCAGTCAAAAATGTGTGAAGAAATTATTTCTAAACTGAAAAAGAAAGGCGGTACATCCAGATGAGCAATTACTAAAATTCATAGTAAGATAAGAGTCTAATCGTTCCGAAGATAAATTAATTTAAATGAATTGGAAGAAAATTCATATCTGCTGAACTGCAAGGTCAATATTTTAAAGTCTGTCGACAGTAACTCATTAAAACCTGAAGGAATTGAATCTCGCTTTAAAAAATGTTGATTACTATCTGCATAAAGATAATTTTGTGCAAATTTAGAGTCAGCAAGAAAATTATCCGATTATATTAAGGAAGAAAATTTTATGAATTCATTAATTAATTTACATATGAAAATTTCACAGAACTAAAATGAAAAAATTTTTCTGCAGAGATCATGCGTTGAAAGAAACTGTTAATGGGAAACTTCCTAAGCTCACGATCAATAAATTTTATAGCGATACTAGTCAGTGGTTCACATTTTGGAGATCATATAAATCTGCGGTACATGAAAACGAGCTACTAACGAAAGCTGATAAGTTTAATTATCTAAAGGCTCATTTATGCGGTTTCGCATTAAATACTATTAATGGTTTCCCGACTACCTCTGATAATTATGATAAGGCTGTCAAATTATTAACTGACCGATATGGAAGAAAAAATATTTTGATAAATGTTCACATGATTAACTTGATAAGTATTTTTCTAACGATGTCAAAACTTTTTAAAGTTACTAGATAACTGTCAGACGCAAATACGTAGTTTGAAATCTCTTGGAATTTCTTCAGACACTTATGGTAAATTGTTATGCCTCGTAATTTCAAAATGCTGTTTCATCGGGAAAATTAGAGTATGAGTAACTAGAAATTACCAACTTTCTGATTACTGATCTACCGCGTTCAGAAGTAAATGAAATTTCGAAAAATATTTGTGTATTTTGCAATAAATTTTACGATTCTGAAAGATGTGGTTATGTACGTGATATTAGTACTGAAGAAAGGAAATCTTTTTAAATGAAAAAAAGGGGGTTGTTTCAGATGATTGAAAGAAAACAAACATTTATCAAGATAGTGTAAAATAACAATAAGTTATTCGTTGCAAAATAACAGTTAGTTGTGAGGGAAGACATTTTGATATTGTGTGTTTCACCTCAGAACCTTAATGAACAAAATGTGAAAACGGAGTAAATGAACATACCTTTTTTTTTTTTAGCAAACTGGCACACACAAGCACAAAAGGAGTGTACTTGCAAACTTTAATTGTTAATATAACAGAAAATGGGAAAGAACATTTTTACGCGGTATAGTAAATTCTGAAAGTCAGAAATACAGCGTAAGCAAATTTGCGGTTCGAGAATTGCTAGAAGGAGAAATTATGACACATAGTTTGTTTGGGATTGTTGAGAAAACAGAAAAACACAAAATATTTCTTGAAGCTATCTAGTACTGTAAAAAAGTATCAGGTACAATTTGAGGACATGGATCAAACGAAAATTTTCTCGAATATTCGTAGAATTGGAGATAGCGACTGTTTAAAAGATATAAAAGAACTTGGCTTATTTGTGAGCGATATTGCTTTGACTGGAAATCCATGTCATTTCAAGAAGAATTCAAACAAAATACATGTTCTTATAGGAATAGATTTGGCTGGAAGATCACATACAGGGAAAATAAAGCATCTATTTAAGTCGTGAATATCGATTTTGGGCAAGGGTGGCAACGAGAACAAAAATGGCTGTTCCTTGTTAGTTCTCTCTCTTCATGTAAGGAATGCTCAGATAACTTTTTATGGAGTTTAGATTTTTGGTAATAACTGACCCTGTTGAAAACGAAAACGGAACTAGTAGAGCTTACTTTTAAACACTTTAAAGAAACTGTTGATAGAGATGAAGAAGGTGGCCATCCTGCATTGTTAGATAATAAATATATATGCAAGAAAAC